GCTCTGCGCTGGATCAAGCAAAACATTGCTCGCTTTGGTGGAGAGCCACAGAATATTCTAGTGCTTGGTCACTCAGCTGGCGGGGCTTCGGTACACCTACAGATGCTGCAGGAGGACTTCAGCCAGTTGGCAAAGGTGGCTGTGTCACTCAGTGGCAATGCCCTTGATCCCTGGGTGGTGCAACAAGGAGCAGGTCGACGCGCCTTCGAAATGGGTCGCATTGTGGGATGCGGTTTGTTAAGCGACTCTGTGGAGCTTAAAAAGTGTCTACAGTCCAAGAATGCCTCGGAGATAGTCAGAGCTGTGCGTCAGTTCCTCGTCTTTGACTATGTGCCGTTTGCTCCATTTGCACCGGTGGTGGAGAGCGAAGATGCAGCCGAGCCCTTCATTACTCAGCATCCCATTGATATACTCAAGAGTGGAAAGTTCGCCCAAGTGCCCTGGCTGACCACCTACACCCAGGAAGATGGCACCTACAACGCTGCTCTCTTAATGGCCAAGCAACTCAACGGCGCAGAGTTCATTGAGGAGCTCAACAGTCGCTGGTACGAGTTGGCGCCCCACTTCCTGTTCTATCGTGACTCTATGAAGACCATTGGCGACATGGACGACTACTCCCGCGATCTGAGACAGCAGTACCTGGGCAACCGCAACTTCAGCGTGGAGAGCTACCTGGACGTGCAGCGTATTTTCACAGATATACTGTTCCGGAACGACACCCTACGATCCATAGATCTGCATCGCAAGCATGGCAAGAGCCCCGTTTATGGCTACGTCTACGATAATCCGACATCTCGGGGCAGTGCTCAAGTTTTGGCCCAACGGGATGACACTAATTTTGGTATAACCCACTTTATTGATTACTTACAGAGCTTGTCTTTAATGATATCATTTGTATGCTTATAGGCACAGGACATGGCGATGATTATGCTCTGATATTTGAGAAGGCAGTCACTCAACCCCGCGCTGACGAGAAGATCATCTCCAAGAACTTTATACGCCTGCTAGAAGACTTCGCTCAAAGCGACAGCGGCTCCTTGACATATGATGATTGTGTATTTCCCAATAATATTGAGCAGGAGCAGCTGCAATTCATTTTAATTAAGAGCAACAGCTGTGAAATTTTAAAGCTAGATCCAATTAGTTAATGAAGCAAAATTGTTTAAAGAAATTTATTACTGCTGTTTATTTGATATGATATACATATTTAAATTTTGCTTGAGATTTAACTAAAGCAAAGAGATTTTTGTGCAATTATATAGAAAGTAAAATAATTATTATAATTCAAATTTCCCCTCATATACGCTCTTTGATTGATACTCAGAATGAATAAACTTTTTGTCGAGCTTTATTAAAGATTTTCAATAAATTAAAATTTGAACAGCAAACATCAGACGATTTCAAATGCGGATCACTGGCCTTGATCACCTCTGTTGATAAACAATTATATAGATAATAGCCGAGAATTGTGAATGAGAATGAGTTGCGCACGACTGCAATGAACTTACTAATTTACTGACTGTATGCCTTATATAATGACTGTCGTTCAGTTGAGTGTGTGACTAATTTGACCACAAATTTGTCGTAGGTCATGTGGAAATGCAGTCTATAAAAGAAGGCGCATTTCCCGACCAACTAATAGTTCGCTTCGATATTTGGTTTAGTGCAAGTCATGAACGTTATAGAATACCTCCTCGTTTCACTGCTGATCGGCTCAGCTGCCACAGTCGCTACAGATCCGTTGCTGGTAGAGCTGCCCAATGGAATACTACGTGGACGCGACAACGAGGGATATTACAGCTACGAGTCGATACCGTATGCGGAGCCACCTCTTCGGGAGCTACGATTTGAGCCACCTCAGCCCTACGCTCGCCGATGGGACAGCATATTTAATGCAACCACGCCCCCCGCCTTCTGCATGCAGTGGAATCAGTTTGCCGAGGACGCGGATAAGCTGATAGGCATCGAGGACTGTCTAACTGTAAGCGTGTACAAGCCAAAGAACTCGAATCGTAGCTCATTTCCGGTTGTAGCGAATATTCATGGCGGCATCTTCATGTTTGGTGCACCCGTGGAGCAGCGTCATGAGCCGATTATGGCCAGAGGCAATATGATTGTGGTGACGATTGCATATCGACTRGGTCCGATWGGTTTTCTGAGCACAGGCGACGCTACATTGTCGGGAAACTTTGGRCTTAAGGATCAGCGCTTRGCTCTGCGCTGGATCAAGCAAAACATTGCTCGCTTTGGTGGWGAGCCASAGAATATTCTWGTGCTTGGTCACTCAGCTGGCGGTGCTTCGGTACACCTACAGATGCTGCAGGAGGAYTTCAGCCARTTGGCAAAGGTGGCTGTGTCACTCAGTGGMAATGCCCTKGATCCCTGGGTGGTGCAACAAGGAGCACGTCGACGCGCCTTCGAAATGGGTCGCAATGTGGGATGCGGCTTGCTCAGCGACTCTGTGGAGTTGAAAAAGTGTCTACAGTCCAAGGATGCGTCGGAGATAGTCAGAGCTGTGCGTCAGTTCCTCGTCGTCGACTATATACCGATTAATCCATTTGGGCCGGTAGTAGAGCCAGTCGATGCTCCAGACCCTTTTCTCACTCAGTATCCCAGTGACATCATAAAGAGTGGAAGCTTTTCACAAGTTCCGTGGCTCGTTTCGCATACAACGGAGGATGGTGGATACAACGCAGCTGCTCTCCTGGTTAAGCAGCCCGATGGAAGGGAGTTGATCTACCACCTCAATAATCGCTGGTACGAATTAGCGCCCCACCTCCTCTTCTATCGCAACTCTGCAAAAACAGTTGACGAAATGGACGACTACTCCCGCGATCTGAGACAGCAGTACCTGGGCAATCGGAAATTCAGCGAGGAGAACTATCTGCATATACAGCGATTATTCTCAGATTTGTTCTACATAAACGAAACTCTGCGAACCATAGATCTGCAGCGGGAACATGGAGGAAGTCCCATTTACTACTACGTCTACGATAATCCATCTGAAAAGGGCATTGGACAAGAATTGTCCAACCGGGATGACATTTATTTTGGTAAGACTCCAATGGATTTCGATGTATATGTATTAGCTATGCCGTGACTAATGTACAACTATTTACGTATAGGCACAGTACATAGGGATGATTACGCTCTGATGTTCGACAAGAAAACTAGTGAAGACCGACCTGACGAGAAGATCATTTCCACTAAGTTCCTAAGCATGCTGGAGGGCTTTGTCTACAGTGATACTGGTGCTTTGACTTATGACAATTGCGTGTTTCCCAACAATATTGGCCAGAAGCAGCTGCACTATATTCTAATAAGGAGCAACGGCTGCGAGGCTCTAGAAATAGCTCCGATATAGGCAATTATATAATTGCAATTAATTATAAAAAACTATTTCTTATAAGATTTCTATCTAAAATTCCATGTTCTACTGCTGCGAGCTACAATTATTTCTATTTATTAATTATTAGTTTATTTCATTTGTTCATATGAATACGAAAGTGATGAATGCTACATCTAACACACATTTCTTTGCTTATCCCGAGGATTATATTCCGTCACTAAGCTGATCTCGATCTGAGCAAAATCTAATCGCAACTTATTTAATAAAGATGTTTGAGCGCATTGTTCAAAGTGATTAAGCAGCGCTGACCTATGATAATCGAAAGCTCTGACATAATGTGGGTAGAGATAGAGAGATTCAGCTGCTTCATATGCCCCTAAAAATAAATAATATATAACAAATAAAAATAAATTACAAGTAAATAATTTAGATTATACATATCCTATACAATATATATATAAATTAAAAAATAATAAAAATTAGCAATTTAAACTCTATATATACATATATATATTCTGTTTATATTCTGTGTTTGTTGTTTGTCGGTGAGATGCTGTTTAAGAGGAAACCAGTTCTGTTTAATATTTAAAATGATATTTATTATCAGCACTTAAAATGTTAACAGTCCACATAATTAGGGGCTATCAACGGAGCAATAATATCTGCGAGAATCAAAATAAAACAAACGCTGCTGCTCTACGCTTGGCACAGTGCACATTCAGTGTTGACAGAGTAAAGGTCATGAAAGATAACGGCATACGAGTTTTGTTGGTCTGGCTCTGTGTAGCAGCGGCAGCCGTTGCCGATCCACTTTTAGTCGAGCTGCCCAATGGGCAGCTACGTGGACGCGATAACAAAGGATATTACAGCTACGAGTCGATACCCTATGCGGAGCCACCTGTCGGGGAGCTTCGCTTCGAGGCACCGCAGCGCTACGCCCAGCAATGGAAGGATACGTTCGATGCCACTCAGCCCCCTGTCGAGTGCATGCAGTGGAACCAGTACACCGACCAGGAGAACAAACTGACGGGCGTCGAGGACTGTCTAACTGTAAGCGTTTACAAGCCAAAGAACAGCAGTCGCAGCTCATTTCCTGTTGTCGTCAACATTCACGGCGGCGCCTTCATGTTCGGCGGTGCAGCTGGGAACGGCCACGAGGCATTCATGGCCAGCGGAAACGTGATTGTGGTGAAGATCACCTATCGTTTGGGCCCACTGGGCTTCATCAGCAGCGGCGACAGCGCTCTGCCAGGCAACTTTGGCTTGAAGGACCAGCGGCTGGCATTGCAGTGGATCAGGGACAACATTGCGCGCTTCGGTGGGGAGCCGGAAAATATTCTCGTAGTCGGCTTCTCTGCTGGAGCAGCCTCGGTGCATCTGCACCTGCTGCAGAAGGACTTTCAGCAGCTCGCAAAGGCGGCCGCCCTAATAAGCGGAACCGCCGTAATGCCATCTACGGTGCAGCAAGGCGGGCGTAGACGGGCCTTTGAAATGGGTCGCATCGTGGGCTGCGGCTTGCTTGAAGACTCGGCGGTGCTTAAAAAGTGCCTGAAGTCGAAGCATGCCTCGGAAATTGTGACGGCCGTACGGGACTTTTTGGTATTTGACTACGTGCCCTTCGCTCCATTTGGCCCCGTGGTGGAGCCAGTCGATGCGCTCGAGCCTTTTCTGACTCAACATCCCGTTGACATCATTAAGAGTGGAGAGTTTTCGCAAGTTCCCTGGCTCGTCTCACATACCCAAGAGGATGGCGCCTACAATGCAGCCATTTTCCTAGCAAAGCAGCCCAACGGAGAGGAGTTCATCGGGGAGCTCAACAAGCGCTGGTACGAGCTGGCGCCCCACTTATTCTTTTATCGAGACTCTAGCAAGACAATCGAGCAAATGGACGACTACTCCCGCGATCTGCGACAGCAGTACCTGGGCAATCGGAGCTTCAGCGTGGAGAACTACCTGGACATGCAGCGAATATTCACCGATGCCCTGTTCAGGAATGATTCGATACGATCCATAGATCTGCACCGCAAGCACAGCAAGAGTCCCATCTACTACTATGTCTACGACAATCCCGCGACTCGTGGCAGAGCGAATCTTCTGGCCAGGCGAGACGATATTGTAGTCGGTAAGCAAACAGTTTGAACTCACTATAGTTGCTCCTTCCTCCTATATACACTTCCTTCTTGTAGGCACTGGGCATGGGGATGATTACTTTTTGTTCTTTGACAGCCCCTCGCGACAGCCTCTGCGTGCGGACGAGGAAATTATTTCCAAAAATTTAATTAAAATGTTCGAGGACTTTGTGCAAGGTGACAAAGGGCCTTTGACCTATGACACTTGCGTCTTTCCAAACAATATTGCCCAGGAGCATGTGGAATTCATTCTAATCAAGCGTAATGGCTGTGAGATTTCAAAAGCTGATTGGATTGCTTGAATTTTAAATTGATGTATTATAAAGCTAAATTCGATTCTGAAATTTGACAACTTAAATCAAACAAATTAAAGTATTTTAAAGCCATTAATTTAATTGATGCGTAATATGATTGCTCTCAAATCAAACATATCAATCTACAAATTATTATTTATGACTTTCTATATAAATTGAACAGAAATACGTAAAGTTCAACTGAACTCAGGCTTATTAAAATTTATTTAATTATTCATTAAAGTGTAATTAGTGGCAAATAAAGCCTGATAAACAAAATAAGAAGAAGCAATTAGCTGAATGTTGCTGAGCACCAACAACAGGTTTTTCTCGAAACTACTTGAGAGAAAGATTATAACAACACTCATTCATGAGCGGGCAGTTGCTGTGTTTGCTTAGGCAGTGCCAGAGCTCAGCTGCCTATGGTAATCCGTGGAAGCACCTGAGTGCTGCTTAGTGCTCCTCTTTTCCGTAGAGTTCATCTGGCTTTCCCTCCAGCACGAATGCCACTTTATGGCCCGCACGCATTTCGCTTTAAGCGGCTTTGCAATTTCTGGCTTGTGGTGCGTAATGCTTCACTATGCGACTTCAGGTTTTCTCATTTTGCCATTTTGTCTGCTTGCACCTCGAGCCCATTGAAAATGGGAAATCGGGGTATATATAAATGTATGGCAGGAGGAGGCGTGACAGACCCAAAGTATATACATATGTATGTATGTATGTCTATTCTTAATCAGAGCGAGGAGAGTTCGGTCGATATAGTCGTGTCCGTCTGTCTGTCCTTATGAACATCGATTTTTCGATAACTCATTCCATTTCGTTTTTATCGATAATAGTCGATAATTCGTTTTTTCAGCGATATTTGAAAACTTTTAAAGCTGGAGATTTCAGAGTTACTGTAGAGATTCATATAATGAATACCAAGATGCTGTGACTTATATATTTTGGATACGGGCAAGGTATTCATCAGAAATATGGAGAAAAAATATATATCAAGTATTAGATTGAATGTTTTTTCACTAATATATATTTTATAAAAATGCTCATCAAACTCTATAAAACGTCTCAAACATATGAGTATAACAACAAAAAAGAAAAGAAAAATTAGAATACATAAAAGCGATGGAGGATTTCCAAAAACTTTGAAAACTGCAAACAAATGGCAAATACTTTCGAACAGAAATGCGCTAGAGAGGACTGTGGCACAAGTTGGAATCTGAAGCGCGTGCCTTGCATATTTTATGATAGTTAATTATGTGCCTGTTGTTGTGTATTTTGCAATTTTGAGATTTATTTAGGGAAATTAGCCAAAAAGCGCAGCTAAGGGGCGCAGCAATGCAGCAGCTCGGCGTGCGGGGGGAGGGAAGGCTGCTTTGCTGGGAAATATGAAAAATAACTTATGCCTTTTATGTGAGAAATATTGAAATATTAGGCAGGCAGGATGAAAGGCGGACGGAGCTGCGGAGACAGCCAAGGGAGCGAACCGGACCCAAAGGATTCATCAGCGGTAACAGCTGTTGACGGCGCACTCGGCACTCGGCACTCGGCACTCGGCGCTGCCAAAAATTTTAGCATTTTGCGATGATGTATCGTTGGCATCATTATAACAGCTGCCGTTCCGGATCCTAACTGGCAGTCCCCAGTCTAACCCGCTGCCCCGGGCCTCACAGTAGTTGGGCTGAATGAAATTTGGATGCGTTTCGCCCGGTCTGGCCTGGCTGGGGCCATTGGACAACGGCTTGTGCGTGCCTTGGGTACTTGTTGTTATATTTATCACAGAAGCGTACTTTATCTTCCCAGCACAGCCGCGCCCTAGACCCGCCCACAAATGGCGTCAGTCAGCAGCTGCTCAAATCACCAAGCCAACAATTTTACATTTTCCAGACTAAATATTCGCATCTTTTATATAACGCACACCCACACACACAAACACATGCACACGCATATTAGTACACACACCTACATACACATATTATATATACAAAATATTGTTTCGTTATTTATTGAGCCCTTTTTTGCGTGTCGATCTGGAAATTAAACTTGCATTATGCCACTCAGTTGAGGACTCGGTTGTATCATCAGGGAAACTTTCTTTATATTCCAAAATTCTTATGTAGAGGCACAATAAAAGCTTAACAGATGTTTCGGCCTTACAAATTTGATGTTTATGAGGCCAACGAATGAGTTTTGCTTGCATTTTTAATGATTTCCCCCTACCCAGCCCTTTTTTTTTTATTTTTCGTCTTCTTTTGATAAATAGTAATAAAAACGATTCGAGCATGTGTAGAAAACGAATCCATTTCCTACCATCAGCTGCCAGCAGACATTTAATGGCAGTTGCCAAACGAACTTTTCGTAGAACTGAACCTTCCGGGCTCGCATCACAAGCTGGCTTCATCACACACAGCTTGCAGGCCTTTAATAAAGTTATATAAGAGCCAACTCTGTTAACAGAGGTGAGGATAGAGGCGAGCCGCTCAAGGATATTGATTGAAATGCAATTTACATGAGCGATAATGAGCTTTCTATGTGGTGTCAGCCTGAATCGACCCGTCGAGCTGTGCCAACTGTCCCAATGTCAACGAGATATAAA